TGTGAAAAAAAATCTAGAAAAATCATGGGGACTCAAGATTGGGGATCCGTAAACTCTCAGAGTTTGAATTTTGAGTCTAGTTTGCTCATGAGTTTTCCCAAGACCTTATATTGTCCCTAAATAAAGTGAAAATCGTCTTTTTCACTGACTGGTTAGAAATTAGCTTCACGAACATGTTGTTTGGTAAATTCATAGAATATCCTAGAAAAATAGTATGGAATTTTTTTGAGAAATTTCTTAAAAGTTAAAAGTCTAATATACTGGAATATTAAAAAAAATATTGCAACTTATTCAGTTCTAAGTGGGGACGAGGTGGCCTTGAACAGGCTGCTATTTCAGGTCAAAATTTGAGAATTTGACCTAATAACCTATTTGCATGTTTGGGTAGTAAGTTGCCATATTTGTTTATGTAAACTTCTAGTAATAAATATATTTGTGTTTATCTAGCAGCAGATTTAATACCTTATGTCCTGAAAGATTTAAAGTGTGGAAATGGTGCTTTTTTTTTTGACAAAGGTGAGTCAATCTTTGTGGTTGTTTAAAGTACATTGAGTAGGGATTCCACATCTTATAAGGATTGGAATGAACCTAGGTCATTTAGGTTGCATGTTCCACAATTGAGAATGATATTTTGAATTGAATGACGCTTCCTTCAAGCTATACTTTTTGGTTGCTATTTTGATATGAGGGTGTGATAGGTCCACGATAGAAGGAGAGATTTGTGTTAATTGTTTGTGAATATATGCATGGAATAAGTTATTAGTAATATTTATCTATGTTGGTTAGGAAAATGCATGCTAATGATGTAATATGCATCAATGATGAAGTGATGATATGAGAATGATCATATAAAAGATGTAAAATGCCTTAACTTGTGATACCTTGTTGCATGTTTACATACTGTGAACTATGGAAGTAATATGTCATCTAATAATACTAATTGAAATTGAGCATGATTACTTAAGGAGGTTTTTAGTGTAATCCTTATGTGATGAATTAATAATTTATTAATTAAAAAGGGGAATACACTTAGTGGGGCGTGAAGGGTAGCAACCTAGACTTAGGTAGTGTACCCTATCTGAATACTTGTGAGGGCCTTATAGGTTGGAAGATACCTATAGGAAAATAGATTAAGCCAAATTGAGACGCCGAGTGGTTTTTCTAGACCACCACCCGGGACATGGTTCATGGACACTAAGGTGTTCGATGTAACGGCCGCATATTCGGGCTAGTCAATTTAGAGACAATAATCATCAAAAATAAATTTTTGATGGAAGATTATTTTGAATGAATAATCTTAACCAAGTTATAGCATATGTCACAAGGGTTCCGTACATATAAAGAACACCGAAATCCAAATTATAACGAAGAAGTTATGGCCCGTCGAAGTTTTACGGCAAAACCGGCACAAGACCGTGTAATGTAAAAAGGTGAATTTGTGATAAAATACTTTTTAGCCTTAGAGATATAAATTAAAGTTGTAGTATACACTAAACTGACAGAGAGCATAAAAAGAACGCCCAATTCTAACTTCGTATGAGGAAGTCATGATTTTTCTAAGATTTGGCATAGCAGTGCACAACCCGAAATTCTAATTTTAGATCGATCGATTTTTTTGCCAACGCAAACTAAATGAGAATTGAATATCTCATTAATAATATTTCAACGATAAAAGGACAGACGAAAACGAAGTCAGTATGTAGAAGTTATGAATTTTACACGGTCATTTAATAGTGTAATTTCTCCTACTATTATATTTAAAATCTGTTAAGAATTAGCCGAAGGAATACTAAAAGTTGTAGATCTTTTTATTACCTACGCGTGGATATAAAGAATGTTAAAAACAAAGTTCGTATGTGAAAGTTATGAATTTTTAAAAATTGGTTGTTTTACCTATGTCCTATGCGACGTGTCAACTCCAGGCTTCGCCTTGGTGCCTACACAAGACTCACGATGTGAGCATCATGTTTCACGATGTGAGAAGCCCTATATAGCCTATAAATAGAGGCGTCGAACACCCCTAAAACTCACACCTTTCATACTCTTTCTCTCCCATTACCCTCAAACACCCTCCCCTAGGGGTGAGCATTTGGACCGGACTGGTTATGGAGAATTTTGTGGACCATGGACCAGACCGGATGAGTCATGTTTGTGTCCGTGTCCGGGTCCAGGGCTGGGTTTTCCATTTTTTGGATCGGTTTGGACTGGTATAACTTTAATTGCATAGAGTATAAGTAATCTACATTGATGTATAATATTATAACTTGAAAAATTAATACGCTTCCGTTTCATGTATAACTAATCTACATTGATGTATAATATTATAACTTGCAAAAATTACTTTTCCAAATAAAAACAACTAACATATAAATCAAGTTCACCAACAAAAGTTATACAATTTTAAGAAAATCATACAAAAGTATTACCGTAACAACAAAAATCATAGTTTAAACTTTAAAATCAATCAAACTAACAAACATCATAAACTCATAATATAATCTTCCACTCAAAAGCTGATTTTTTTTAGCTTTGATAGCTCTACTTTGAAGGATTGTAACTCAGTGAATATAATACAAAAATAAACAAAATTATAGTCTAAATTCATCTACAAACTATAAACTAAGTATTGGAAAAAACTGGAGGCCAATCCGACTTAAAACGAATGAATTATGGGTGTTTAAAAAACGTCACATATTACAAAATCTTGCTAAAAAGCTGAATTTTTTCAACTTTGATAGCTCTACTTTAAAGGATTGTAACTCGGTGAATATAATACCAAAATAAACAAAATTATAGTCTAAACACATCTACAAACTGTAAACTAAATTTTGGAAAAACTGGAGATCAATCCAACTTAAAACGAATGAGTTATGGGTGTTTAAAAACCATCACAGATTACAAAATCTTGTTGAAAAGCTGAATTTTTTCAGCTTTGATAGCTCTACTTTGAAGGATTGTAACTCAATGAATACAATACCAAAATAAATAACATTATAGTCTAAATTCATCTATAAACTTTAAAATAAATGTTGGAAAAAACCAGAGGTCAATCCGACTTATAACGAATTAGTTATGGATGTTTAAAAAATGTCACAGATTACAAAATCTTGCTGAAAAGCTGAATTTTTTCAGCTTTGATAGCTCTACTTTGAAAGATTGTAACTCAGTGAATATAATACAAAAATAAACAAAATTATAGTCTAAATTCATCTACAAACTATAAACTAAGTATTGGAAAAAACTGAGGTCAATCTGACTTAAAACGAATGAATTATGGGTGTTTAAAAAACGTCACATATTACAAAATCTTGCTGAAAAGCTGAATTTTTTCAACTTTGATAGCTCTACTTTGAAGGATTGTAACTCGGTGAATATAATACCAAAATAAACAAAATTATAGTCTAAACTCATCTACAAACTGTAAACTATATATTGGAAAAACTGGAGATCAATCCGACCTAAAACGAATGAGTTATGGGTGTTTAAAAACCATCACTGATTACAAAACCTTGCTGAAAAGCTGAATTTTTTCAGTTTTGATAGCTCTACTTTGAAGGATTATAACTCAGTGAATACAATACCAAAATAAACAACATTATAGTCTAAGTTCATCTATAAACTTTGAACTAAATGTTGGAAAAAACCAGAGGTCAATCCGACTTATAACGAATTAGTTATGGATGTTTAAAAAATGTCACAGATTACAAAATCTTGCTGAAAAGCTGAATTTTTTCAGCTTTGATAGCTCTACTTTGAAAGATTGTAACTCAGTCAATATAAAATCAAAATAAACAAAACTATACTCTAAATTCATCTACAAACTGCAAACTAAATGTTGGAAAAGACCGGAGGTCAATCCGACTTAAAACGAATGAGTTATAGGTGTTTAAAAAACATCATAGATTACAAGTCCAATCGGTTCTAAACCCGGTAAAAACCGGACCGAACCGGATAGAAATCTTAGAACCGAGAATCGGCCCAGGGGTCCAAAAAAACAGTCTGGTCCGGTCCACCGGTCCAAATGCTCACCCCTATCACATTCCGTGGGGTTATTGAACTTGTTTCACCCCTAAAAGCCTAAGCAATAGTTAGTTGTAAGTTGTGCTCTATTAAAGTATACTAGTTGAAAGATATGTATTTTTAAGTGTTTAATATTAGAGGGTTGTAATTAAAAGCAGAAAAAAGTAGGTATGTGACGTATATATGATATGTGGGATGAAAAAGTAAGGAAGAATGGAGTCATTCATTATTATTTATAATGTTATTGTATAAATTTTAATAGATTATATATATAATTAAATCTTATTGATCTTATGGATGCTAAACTTTAGTGGATTACACTTTTGACCAATTAGTTCATATATTTTGGCAACTTTCATCTCTCTCCTAAGATTTTGACATACAGTAACCTTCGATGTTATTTTGGCCTTATATTTTTGCCAACTTTCGTCCGTCTCTTAAGATTTGACATGTGACTAACCGCATATTGCATATAGTTAATTAACACCTTACAAATAGTATATTTTCTATTGTTTGAAGTTTTGCCACGAAAGTTTCAAGACTATCAATTTTGGTTTCTCATCATCTTTTTATCATATTAATTTATGGAGTTGACATTTTTGGTCCATCGGTTTCGATTTTCTCTATTATTAGCCAAAAATGTTTTAAGAGTTTATCACTTTTGGTCAATGATATTTACAAAATGTGACACTCTAAGTTTTTTGCCACATTAGTTTGTGAAGTTGATGTTTTTGGTCCCTTATTTTTGATATTTTACTATACAACCATACTTTCCTCAAACCATTTATATACATACAAAATAGAAACAACAAACAAAAAAAAACATTAAAGAAACACCAAATTATTTAAACATGAAAAAAAAAATCAGACCGCCTTAAAGCAGGGATCACTCATAGTTTCAATGAAATCATGTCATTATACTTTTATTTAAATAAAATACATTAGGATAAAATACAAAACACTATTTTTGCACAATAAAATATATCAAAAATCTACAAAATTAAACATAATCTAAAATATTTATTTTGATTAATAGTCATAGTAGAAATATTTTACGGCTACAATTGCACATATAAATACGCGCACGGATTCACCAACCCATCAACGAATTCATTAATTGTAAGCAAGAAAAAGTGTTCTTAGAAAAACCAAACTACACAACCCTCAAATCCCTCACCCCAAATCCATTCACAAACTCAATCACTAAAATCTAGAGATTATAAACTTTCAAGTCGAAGATTTAGAGGTAGAAACCCCCAAAATCCCTATCAACCAGTTCCCAGACCGATTCAATTTTGATGTATCATCAAGACACCGACTGGGCAATCGACGCCGCGGCGGCGGTAGCGGCGGAGTCTACATGGTCACGATACGAAGATAAGTTGTTTGAGGACGCGTTGGTGATGTTCCCAGACGATGTAATCGGACGGTGGCAGAAGATCGCCGATGCGGTGCCGGGTAAGACGGCGGAACAGGTCAGAGCTCATTACGAGGTGTTGGTACATGATTTGCTTCAGATTGATTCCGGTCAAGTGGAGTTACCAAGTTACGCCGATGATGGCGACGAGTCGTTTCTGAGTTGGGACCCCGAGTTGCGCGCGAGTCAGATCTCGTTTGGAATGACAAAAGGATCTAAACATGGAGACGGTGAAAGAAAGAAAGGGACACCATGGACCGAAGAAGAACACAGGTACTTTCCGCTTACTTACTTAATACATTTTGATCAATTCAATTCAATTCCCCCATTTCATATCCCAATATCGTGATTTCGATTCGAATTGTCCTTTCTCAACAGATTATTCCTGATCGGACTGCAACGGTACGGAAAGGGCGACTGGCGGAGCATTTCAAGAAACGTTGTCGTTTCACGGACGCCAACACAAGTCGCTAGTCACGCTCAGAAGTATTTTCTCCGGCAGAATTCGATGAAGAAAGAAAGGAAAAGATCAAGCATCCATGACATCACCACCACCACAGACACCATCTCGGTGCCGCCACCGCCACCACCATCGACGAACTTCCAAGGAGGAGCAACACCGCAATTGGGGTATGAACGTCAACAAAACTTTGGCTACCCTATGTAAAATTAAAGCTTAAACATCCGTACAAATTACAAAACTAGCCATACATATAATAGGACAAATTTACCCTCCCATTTTAACATTCCAATATAAATTTGTAAAGTTTTAGTTTTTTTGAGAGTTTGAGACAAAAGAGATTTAGATATATTAGAGTATTTAGGGTGTTTGGATGTGAATTCTAGTGTGATTAATGTAGTTTTAAAACTCGGAATCAAACAATTATTTTATTAATTGTTATGATTAGTTTGATAAGTTTATATTTATAGTACGGAGTTGAATGGAATATATTATGGGGATTGAGTATTTAATCTTTTAATTTAAGTTTTCAAGTTTTATAAAAATTGTGAATACCAAGACAATAGAGACATTGGAGATAGAATGATGTTGATGGCAAAAATTGGAGATTTTGACTATTGGATAAGTCATTGACTTGTGAAAATGAAATATTTTTTTGGCTCATTCTACCATATTCGGCTGTTCGCAATCAAAATCTATTTTTCTTCCCTTGCAAGTACTTCAAGATTTGGTAGTTGTTCATTTTCATGTGTTTGGTTGTTGGATTAATAACATTTTACTTGGGGTGTATTTTGTTTAATGTCGTTTTCAATATTTGTAGTCATCTTTTGTATATTACGACAGATGTGTAACCTCTTTGAATGTGTGGTTGTTGTCATTGATTGATCAAGATATATCTTGTCCAAGTTTCTATCAATCTTTAAAGAATGTTTATTGTTCGTACTTGATTATTTCAAATAAAAAACAACATTTTCTAGGGTTGGAAATCAGCCATGAGTCCTTGACTTTATTGGATATTCGAAATTAGATTAATTATAGCCTCAAAGATTTCTTGAAGATTCTAAACTTGTCATTGATGTGTAATAATAAGGAGATTCTTGATCTTAATTTGAAGTATCTTGGAGGAGTATGTGCAATGTTGCTTAAGTGCAGTTGGAGGATTCTGTTGGTAATTATATGGTTGCGTTTACGAATAAGCTTTATGTGATTAAATGTAATGTAAGAGTTTGGTACTTAGAAAGAAAAAAAATAATGCAAGGACGTAAAGAAAAAAGATTTAAAAAGAAACTCAAAGAAATCAATGCCATCTAAAGAGGTATTGTGAGTTGGGATGAGTTCTCAAAACCATCAAGTAGAGTCACAAAAATTAAAAACCATCACGTATAGTCACAAAAATTAATAATAGGAGAATTTCATATATACCCTTCTTAAACATCAAAATATCATATTTACCCAATTTAATTTCTAAATATCATATTTACCCTTCATAAAATTTATAAATATCATATTTACCATTTATAAAATTTCAAAATATCATATATGTCCTTTTTAAACATCAAAATATCATATATATATATATATATATATATATATATATATATATATATATATATATATATATATATATATATGCTCTTCTTAAATATCATAATATCGTATATGCACTTTTTAAACATCAAATATTAATAGTAATATCTAAAATATCCTTCATCTACAACAAAAAAACTAAACAATCAAAATATAGATTCTATAGTGATGATTGAAGATGAATATTTTTGTTTGTCAAGAGGACGACATTCAACGATTTAGAAGTTCACATTCCATTATTATAGACGTAAGGATAATATCGTTAAAAATTTTAAATTATAGTAATTTTAAGTTTTAAAAAATGATTATAAAATATTAAAAACATTATAAAAAAGGATTTGGGCAAATATGATATTTTGAAGGTTTATGAAGGGAAATATGATATTAAGAAATTAAGTTGGACAAATATGATATTTTGAAGTTTAAGAGGGGTATATATGAAATTCTCTCATTAATATATCCAATTCAAAATTAACGCATTGAAATTTTCAATATTTAAGTTAAATGAGTTAATACATGTCACGTATTAAATTAGATATGTTGGATCAAGTGAAAATGTTTTTAATTTGCCAACTCAAATATATAATTTAATAAATATTTAAATATTATTATGTATTATTATTTATGTTTAAAAATAATGCAATCTTGAAACGAAAACACTAGTTATTTGCATTTATGAATTGATATCGTGCTTTTGCCATATTTGGAAATTTTATTTAATTTTGTAATTAATTTAAGTGGTGTAATTTTTAGTTAATTTATTTATTTTTGGTTTTAAATAAATAACCCAAGTCTCAAGTTTAACCCATTAATTTAGTAGGTTGAGTTGGATTTGATTGAAAATATCAACTCATTTAAACATGTCGATCCATTATCCTTGGACAATCCATTTATCCGAAACGTTGGATTGGATTGAAATTTTCAATCCAATTAATAAATGGATTAATAAAATCGATACTAAATATTTCTTGTTATTTTTCAATAAACTAGAGATTACAAATGCCTATATATAATTGGAAACCCGGATAAACTAGGAAACATGAATAAAGATAACTTAGGCAAAAAGATAAGCAAAAGATAACTATAGGCCAAGAAACATAATCCTAAATAAACTCCAACACTCCCTCTCAAGTTGGGCTGTGAAGATTTCGAACACCCAACTTGCACCGCAAACTTTGAAATTTTTTTGCACCACGGGCCTTTGTAAAAATATATATCGGTTATAACTCTTAACTAATAGCATATGTCTTTATTTCTCCACAGTTGACCCGTTCACAGATGAAATAAGAATCCATCTCAACATGCTTAGTCCTTTCATGAAAAACGTGATTATCAACTATATGTCTTGCCACTTCATGGTCACATATTAGAGAATTGTCTTCACTTTGAATTGCATCCAAGCCAAGAAGTAACCATCTCAGCCATAAATTTCACAAACGGCAGTAACCATGGCTTTATATTCTGCCTCCGCAGAAGAACAAGACACCACACTTTGCTTCTTCGTTGTCCAAGAAACTGGAGCATATCCAAGACCGATGTAATAACTTGTACATGAACACCTACTAGAGGGACAACTCATCCAGCTGGCGTCAGAGTAGGCTTCAAGAGTCAAGCTTCTAGACGAAGGCAACAATAAACCTTGTCTAAGAGTTGCAACGTCCCGTTCTTGGTACTATCTAATCTATTTAAGTATATATTTTGTAAGAGCTACTCGACGAGTTGGTAGCCCTAACTTGTCGAGTAGATGCCAGTTTGGACGCGAGGTTTAAGTGGTCTACTCGACGAGTCGAAAGTCTTGACTCAATGAGTAGGTTCGTCAGGAGGAAACCCTAATATTTAGGGTTTTCACCCTATTTAAGCATCATATCAGGCCTCCATTCCAGCCTCCATAACATCCACAACCCACTCTCGTAACCCTAACCAACCTTCTGTGTTATTGAGCTAGTTTCTTGCCATTTTGTGTGATTTGAAGTTAGGAGAATGAAGGAGACCCTTGGTGATTCAAGAAGAAGCAGTAGATCCGGAGTTTGTGTTGCATTTTAGACCCTTTGGAGGTATAAATCTTATACCTTGGCTTCTTCTCACTTAGATCTTCTTCTAGGGTTGCATGTTGTCATTTTTGGGCCATTTCCAAGGCTATTTCCGAGTTGTAAGCTTTTGGGGACGTAAGGACTTCAGATCCAAGCATTCTTGAGCTCTAGAAACTCAAAGTTCCCATCTTTTATTCATCCATGAGCTCAATCCATGTTTTAGGTCTTCATTTTTAGCTTAGTTTTGGTATTTTAGCTTCATAGCACCATCCATGCACGTAAAGTTAGCAACTTTACGTGTTATGCTAACCTAAGGAGTCCAGATCTGTGAGGTAGAAGTATTGGAAGTGATTAGAATCGACTGTATGGCTTTGGCATTCAAGGGACTCGATGAGTTGTTCATGTGACTCGGCGAGTCAAGTCGTGGTCCCCAAACCTTTTCTGTTTTCGAGTGAGCTCGTTGAGTTAGTAAGTAACTCAGCTAGATGGACGAGATCTAGACTAAGAAGCTGAAGAACTCGGCGAGTCTGTGAAGGGACTGGACAAGATGACTCGTTTTGTACCGAATCTGTACTAGATAGAACTCGGCGAGTCTGCAAAGGGACTCGACGAGTTGAATCAATTATCACGGGTCTGATAGCATAGAACTCGACGAGTTGGGTTGACTGGGAGTTGACCTTGACTAAAGCGTTGACTTTGACCAAGGATAAAATTGTCATTTTACCATGAGAAGGATTTTTAGATCTTGACTAAGTATTATTGTGATTTGATAGCCGGGGAGATGTTAGAGAAGCTATCAAATATTCCTCATTGCCAGAGTTCACATATAACTTTGCGAGGTGAGTTTTCCTCCAGTAGAAACGGGTCGAAGGCACTAATGCCTGCCCGTTTATGTATTTATAGTATGTCGGACTTTGTCCGATGCCGGGGTTAGCCTGATGCAGATTATATGTTTCCAGACTTCGTTCTGATGCTGGGGCAGTCCCAAGAAGAGTATATGTATGCTTGATGTAGTATCCGGAATTTTCCAAGTATTATTATTATTCATCATATTAAAGTGTAGTGTGGTTTGATTTGGGCTTTGACCTTTGGGACTTGCTTGTGGGCTGAAGGAGTTGTGTATGCGGGGCATACATTGCCGTGTACACCCAGCGTACACGTGTAAAGGAAGCGCGGCGGTCAAGCACGTACGCCCGACGTACCAGGAGTATGCCCAAGGTACCAGCAGTACGCGCAGCGTACGTGTGCAGATCATTAAACCCTAAAATGATAGTTTGCCCCTATATAAAGAACATAACCCCTGTTGGTTCAGCCACCCTTCACTCTTAACCAGACACCACGAAAACCCTAGCTCCATTTGTTGTAGAAGCCATTTGAGAGTGTTTGTGTGTTATTTTAGTGAGAAAGGAAGAAAGGAGGTTGAAGAAGAAGCAAGGATCCACCAAGAGCTTGTAGATCCAGAGGATTGACACCATTTCTGACTCTTTTGAGGTATCAAGCTCCATACTTGACCATTGTATGCTTAGATTTGTTTATTTGAGGCTTTTATGTCCTTTTTGGACCCCATTTTTGGGAATGTTTGAGTATTGTTGGTTCCAGAGCTTAAGAGTTGTCATTTTGGACTCTTAGAAGCACCTAGGATCATACAAATCGGATCTTGGTGGTTAAGCCAAAACCATGCAAGGGCTATATGGTCTTAAAGTTAGATTAATGGACAAAAAGCATGTTTTTACCCCAACCTTGCATGCAAGCACATAAAGCTCGTAACTTTATGGTTTAGGAGGTCTAAAAGGGATTGGATATGCAGTTTAGACATAATGACTAAACGGATGAAGTCATGAATAAAGTCCCTAAGAAGCTGGCCAGTACGCTGGGCGTACTCCCTGGTACGCCGCACGTACTGGGTCAAACTCCCATCTGGTCAAGGCCAGCGTACGTTGGGCGTACACGTCGGGTACGTCATGTTTACGTATGCAGATTGGGAAAATTGGGCCTTTGGGCCCTAAAAGGATGGGTTTGGACTCTTAGGCCCTATAGCCCGCTGAGAAGTATCATTTTGAATTTAGGGGTAAGAAACTTGAGTGTCAGGCCCTTTTGGACCATGATTGGGCCCTTGAGGATTATTATATTGGACTTCGGAATTTTCGGCCTATTCGGGGAAATAAGGACTAAATCAGAAATTGGACAACGAGGGGGCCCTTAGGGAATCCTTAATGCGCCATAT